TGTCAGCGAGAATGTCAGCGAGAATGTCAGCGAGAATGTCAGCGAGAATGTCAGCGAGAATGTCAGCGTGAATGTCAGCGTGAATGTCAGCGAGAATGTCAGCGTGAATGTCGGCGAGAGCGTGAATGTCGGCGAGAGCGTGAATGTCGGAGAGAGCGTGAATGTCGGCGAGAGCGAGAGCGTCAGCGTGAGCGGAGACACGGAGTTTAAAGCTACTCTTTGTTTACTCCATCGTTGGGAAATCGTGCTCGTGTTTGCAACTTTGTTACTACTTCGTTCCGTTTCATCCGCATGGCGAACCGAAAGCGCTGTTGAACATCCATTCATATACACATCCGTACGACTACCGATGGAAAGCGACCTCTAATTTAATTGCGTTCTTTGGGGAAAAAAGAAAAGGAAATATATAGACGATTTTAAATCGACATTTTAGAGAAGATTTTTTTTCTCGTTTCCCCTCGAAAACCATGTTATAAAAAGTTTTGAGATTGATGGCAAAGATCATGAGCAGTATTTTCTAGTTCGGATGATTTGTTTCATTAAGGGGCTCATCGGGAGTTCATCAGTTGTAGTTATTAACTTTTAGATAGCATTTTGTATTTTAAAAATCTTCGACTAACTTTGTCGTTTACTACACTAACACTACACATTTTTTACACTAATACATAGGTCTTGAGCATCGCAAGAGAGTATGAAATCCCTAGCTACACAGGTCGTGAGCCCCATGTCTATGTTGTCACTGAAGCATCACTATCAGTCTGCGGATATCATGCCAGACAATTGGAGATGATTAGCTTGATAAGAGAGAGGAAATCATGACAAATTTCGGTAAAAAAACTATTATGTCCGATAAATGAAAGAATGTAAATGTTGCTTCCAAAGCTAAAATATAAATAAGTTATTTTTTGGATTTTTTTATCGCAATATGTTTTTTGTTAAATATTTTTGCTAACCACAGTTTTCTTTATAAACCTGTTTCCAACTTAAACTCATTCACTCGGATGAGCTTCGTAGATATTTTGCAAGAAGTATGAGTTTTTTCGTTAAAAAGACAAAAAAGCACGATTTTTCATTTTCCCGTAACTTAAAAAAATGTTTATCGCATTGATCTTTTGTGCCTTTAATTAGTAACTTCAGTCAAACTTTTCATCTTCTTTAATTAAATTTTGACGAAAATATTCATTTCAGTCTTTTAAGAGTCTGTTGAAATTTAAAAACTGTTTACGATCAGAAAAGCCCCATTCAGTGCCATTTTTGTTGGTGCTACATTGGCTTCGCTACCCACCGCGCAGGGTTGTGTCGTCGCGCGCGCATCGCTGTGTGTCGTTGATAAAATCCATAAATTGAAGGTTTGCAATGCAGAAGAAATCTGAAAATAGAAAGGATAGCCATCGCAAAGAGATTAATGGCGGTGCCTTCGATTGTCATTACAGCGCGGGTCCGGGTGCGCAGGGCCGGTGGGCACGGTGAGACGAGCACCGGGGGGCGTGCCTAAACAAGGGAAAGAAAAAAGTTATAAGAGTTCTCTCGAGTCTAGGAACACAATAATTGTACCGTGATCGTTATCAACAAAAAGGTTGTTAAAATTGTGTGTATCATTATATTGTTTGTGATTACTGATAAATTTAGAATCGTCTGATTAGAATCATACTTCACTGGGTGATTCCATAGTATTGTTGCAATAAAAATATTATCGACTCTACAAGAAGTTATGATTTTCTAATTGAAATAGGTATGTCTTATCTTATTTCACATTGTTAAGTGAACTAAGAGTATACTCCGGCATTCTCTACGCACTTATGTTTTCAACTTCGCACTGGAGTCAGGGACCGCATCTCGATGAACTTTGTGTCCAGTATCCCTGATTATTGAGGAAAAGTTGATATGGCGTCTTGTTTCGCTTCTGGACATAATGTAGCTTCACTATGCGCACGCTTCTTTGTGCTCTCCTTTTGCTCGCAGGGGTGGAAGTAGAGCAGGGTTTTGCTACTATTTTGTTGTATTTTAAAAATCGCAAGATTAGCAATACTTGAAAAATAGACATTTTCGTTTCCGAGTTATAGAAAGCTTATTTGAATCGGTAAACGAATTGCAAGTACAATTTGTCTGTATTGCTAACAAAATAGCTACTCGCCTTTACCTCTACTCTTACCGTTACAAGCAAAAGGAGAGTTCAACAAAACGTGCGCATAGTGAAGCTACATTTACGTCCAGAAGCAAAACAAGGGACCATCTCAGCATTTGCTCAATAGATCAGGGAAACTGGACAAAAACCTAATCGAGATTATTTCAATATTTTTTCTTAAATGTGTAAGGACAAGAAAGTAAAAATATGTTTATTATCAAAATTTTAATTCTGTAATTTTTGAAAATTTAGAGTTTGCGTAAAATGGGACCAGTACCATTTTTAAGCGCCGAATGTTCTGTCCAAAAAATTAAAGAAAAAACTTTGAAGTAATTTTTTAGAATATAATTGTCTGATAATGGCTTATATTCCATGCAAAATTACGCGAAAAAGACTCACATTTTCGAAAAGTTGTAGACGAACTGGTTTCAATATACCTTTCAAGAACATTTTTCATTAAAGAATAAATCTCTATATTCAATATTGTAGTTCTAATAAGGCACCGAAAAAAAATTGAACTTCTGTAATTTTGGACAATTCAGAGTTCAACGAAAATGAGGCCTGCACCAATATTTTAAGCGTCCTTTGCGTTTTCCCAGAAGAAAGTTTCATATAACATTTGAGGCCAATTTTGACAACGTTGTTGAAACTTCCTGTAATCGAAATCTCGAATCCTAATTCGCAGATCCTGGAGTCGGGCCACATCGATCGGAGAATACCAGTTTTGTAGAAAATCAATTGAACTGGCGATAGCGTTAACCACGGACGGAGACCCTCAATCAATTTTTGCCCTCAAGCAACTTTGCCCTCAACCAAATTTTCTGTATTAATGTGGTATCAATTTTTTGGGGATCAATCACTCACAAAACGTGGGTTCGGACTACAGAACGGGTTAGAAGTAATTTAGTACATATATCAACAAGATTAATTCATTTTTTCGATATCAGGGCTCCACAATACGAATTTTTCTGTCAAAAAATTCGCAATAATATGGTGGATAAATGAAATCTGGGGAATCGATGACGTTGAACAACAAAAGGTGTTTGGCAATACGTGAGCCTCTCTGAGAGTGTCTCTGGCAAGGAGAGCGTTGGATGTTTTCTGAAATGTTGCAGTATCAACAAAACCAAATTTAATATTTTAGGTGACTCGGGTCGTTAATCTGAATGACTGGCTGAATTCACCTCTGAGGCAGAATTGGCGCTGGCTGCAGCGACTCTGACCAGCTAATCCAAGGGTTCAGGTCCGACGTTGGAGGATTTTCGACACTAGTTTACGTCGAATTTACCTGCTCTATGGAAGATAATATTATAAGAGGCCGGTTGCGCTGATCTGGAGTTTTCCGTGATTTTCTTTGATCAATACCATGCGAATATCGGAGCAGAACCCTAATAAAACGGCGACAGACCGTGCGCGATCTTTCCTTCCTCTTCCTTGTCCTATCCTTTTCTTTACACTTACACATACATGTACTACACCCCCATTCATGTCGGGAGATCATTCGGAGCTTATCTCGGTGGAGGCGGTGTCCCGCTGTGGGAGATGGTTGAAAGGGAAATTTCCTGCTGGCATGTAGGTCGGCGGCGAATGTCCCATCACCCGGAAGGTACACCACTTCCCGGAATTTAAAAAAAGAGTCTGCAGAAACGGGTCTAATGAGCAAAGCAGTTGGCGTTCCCGCAAAGAACAATCAATCAATGAGTTAAGGGCTGAGTTGCGCCCTTTCTCTTTCGGAGGATATGTGACCCGAATAAAAAAGGGCGGCATTGGTGGAATTCTATGGTACGAAAATCAATTTTGTCAAAAAACGTGTAGACTTAAATAATGTGTATGCCCATGCACACGTTAGAAATTGTCTATTTTATCCTAAAGTGCTAAAATTAGTGTTTGGTTCTATTAAAATATCAAGGTTCACCTGTATCTTCATAATAAAAAAGGCAAAGACGAAATATGGAGCACCGGTAGCATAGTCATCGATTGTGCAAACGACAGCCTCCTGTTTTTCAGGGTTCAGAAGATGAAGAGGGTGCTAAGACTTAGTTGAGTCATCCTATAAAAATGGCACAACTGACGGTCGTGTCTTTTTAATCAGTTCTAACTGAAATTAAACTCTGGTTATTTAATGTCGTGTAATATATATGCTATAAGTGTTTGCAGTTATTCCTCATAATAAATAATGAAATTACGTGTATTCCATAGGAAACGTGATCTTACTATTAAAGCTCCTTGGATTATTCGTAGATCGTCAAATTGTTTTTTTTTCTTAAACAAATAAGCAAGATCAAATTATTTATTTTTTTCCTTCTCCTACGAATAAAACGCAGATAATATTTCTGCCTGGTACAAATCTAGCAAATAGTGGTGCATTTCACTCGCCTGCACCCGTGCACCAAAGGCAAGTGAGAATGCGCGGTATCCTCGATGCGTAGTAGTACGGAACTCCGGAAACGCAAAGCCACGCTACAATGATCAACTATTCCGGAGAACGACACACGAGACTAGAGTGCGTTTTGCTTCAGCTCGCACAAACAAACACGGGCACAGCGCACTGTAACAGTTGAAACTTCCGGTACAATTGACTGTTGGTAGAATTTCATTCTACAACTAACAGACCGCAATTACATTGTGTAATTACTTCATTATTCATGCTTATTATATTTACGTTACCCAATGAGATCAGATTGTAGAACATAAAACGACTGAAGGGTTCTAGTATTCCACATTAAACTTCTAAGATTTTATAGCCCCTACGTTACTTACGGATGAAAGATCGTTTCGCCAGATTTCATATTTTACGTTAAAGAATTTTATGACGTTTTAAAGGGCAGCTTTTAATTTAACGACTCATTGGAAAGCGCTGCGCGGGGCATGTGCCTTTCGATCAGCGTGTCGCCCCGCCGCGCCGCGCAGCGCCGCGCAGTTGCGTCGTGCACCCGAAAGCGGCGGCGATGGGAGCGACATCGCAGCCAGTGAGCCGCTCTGACCTCCTTCGCGAGACTCCGCCGGCACGGTCCAAGCCCAACTTCTACTTACGTGCACTTCGTTGGGCGTCGAAACTTTGTTTATTTAACGCCGGCGAATTTCCGTCGGTCGCAGCGGTGAGCGCGCCGCTTACTCACGAGCTTCGGATCGAAGGCGAGGCATTCTCCTTGGCCCGGGGAAAGTCGAGCTCCACAGAGCTACTGTCGGGAATGAAATCTGGTAATGTTTTCATGAAACTTTATTACTTTCTCTTATCGTAAACGTAATTCTAAAGCGAATTTTGTACAAAAGATGTAGTTTTTAAAATTTGCCACTGTAGTAAGACTTGGGTAAACGATCATATATTATAAATAAAAATTGTATCAATGGAACTTCCCATCCCGCACGGCGAGGCGCCCTTCTGTAAATAATCTTGTCTTGAAACTTTCCCCAGTGATTCAACAAGAGAGACCCAAAATGTAAATTAAATTACGATATTTCCACGATTATTAAGTGCGATCGCATATCGTTATATCTTGGCTTATATTCATTTAGCAGTAATGGAAGAAAAACAACTCAACTAGATTCAAAATAATTCATATTTTGAAGAATTCAGAGGACAACAAAGTCTTCGCATCTTAGAAATGGCGCATTCTCAAGGCTTAAACTAAATTGTTATTGCAGATCTACAGACTATTTTTCCAAGTACCTGTATATTTTGAAACTAGTGGAGTCACAGAATGGCACACACTTTCTCGTACTAGTTAGTATTCTTATCTCTTCGGTTTGGGCTATCAGTACATGTTTTTTACGTTTCATCAATTTTTCGGATACCTAATAGTAGAATTGATTATATACGGTTAATAATATCAGAAAAAAATAAATGTCCTTCATGCACATTTTCAGTGAAAAATGTGGAGCCTTTCTTAAGAATATTTCGTTTAGCGTTTCTGAAAATGCGCATTTTGAAGCTCATTTCTACCCAAAACTTTAGAATGGTCAAGAATCCTCAAAAAAAGCAAAATCAAGCACTTGTACTTACAAACATAATAATTTAAAAGAAATCTCCTTAATGTAAATATTATCGATGTAAGAGACGTTTTAAAAATTAATTTGTGTTGCTCATGAAACTAGAGGAGCTAAAACAGCATGTACTTTTTCACCCTTAGTAATGGAATGGTTATGTAATACTATTTATACCCCAATTTCTCTCCGAATTAACACATCTTGGTCATCACGTTTTGTATAACATTACAAATAGCAGAACTTTTGGTGCAAAAAATTAATATTTTCAAGCAAATATCAAGACTAGTTTGACAATAATAACTGCGTTCATACAGCTAAATCATGTTCCAACAATGAGACGTACAGAACTTCAGC